AAAAAGTAATAAACAAAATCGGTTTTAAAAAATCTAAAAACTTTTAATACATATAAATTATCTGTTATTATTATCTATTAAGTATTAATACAAACTGTTTTAACATAATTAAGTATACATTTTTTTTTTTTTACAGTACCTACTATTATATTATTATTTTTCGTAACGTTCGAACCAATCTATCGTATTCCAGAGAATAAAAATAATTTTAATATTAATCTATTATAACCAACAATGTGGTAATAAATGATATAAAACCGTATTAAAAGTGTTCTTTTGGTGTTTTTTTTCATCCAGAAACTCAACTTTAAAAAAAAATGAATTAATCCTTTCATTTTAATCTTTAAGAAAATATCCTTTCAACCGAATACCTGTAACCCTGCGGATGTCGGTTTTATTAAGGTTTTCCTTAAGTGGATATGACGAGGTGAATTCGTCAACAATTCTCGTTACCATTATATAAAAGAAAACGCATTTTCACACTTCCCATTGACCGTTTATTTTCCAATGAAAAATTACATCACCAGCTGGTAATTAGGAAGGGGCGATGTAGTTGAACCTAACGCATAATTGAACAATTTGAATTTACATGAATTGGAACGAATTTGGGAACTTCCTTAGGGTGTGATTAAATATATATATATATATTATAAGTCTGTCGTTTATTCATTAAATCATAAAATATTATTATATTCTTTATATAATATTTTAATTACATCAATTTGATGAGTATATAAAAAACATACACAAATAGGCGCTTTCACTTATGTACAATATCATTGATCGTTCATGGCTCATCAAATAATGTATCCACCAATTTGCTCGGATTGGAGTGGAAAGCTTTACATTTGAATTACATTTCATGACGTTGAGGATTTCGTGTCAACAAAAACCTGTAGCTACCGGTGGTTCTCAAACTTAGTTGCCCTCCTAATATAGCCAGTGGGCCAAAGTTTAATTAAAGTTCTGAACTATGGAATATACTCGGGGGGTGAACAACATATTATTTTTGGAGTAAATGAAAAAAAACTAGTTCCTTTAGTTATGTAATATTCAAACTAACCTTACTATAATAGATAATACCTTTTTAAAAATCAAATTTACCACTGACCATAATATTACCTATATAAATTATATAGTATAATATTTATGTAAATATATAAAGGACCATCGGGCACATATATTATGTATACCATGCAATTCGTGTCAATATTGCACCTTTTACGTGTACGTAAATATTGATTAATTTTAATTTACAAATGCACTGAAATTATTTTTTTTAATTTTACAATCGAATCGGTTTAAAGTACACGAAAATACTACTACAAATTATATAAGAACGTTAACTCAAAATTGTTGTTGTTTTTAATGTAAACTATAGTGTGAAAGTAAGATGTACGGATTTAAACGAAGATAAATAAAAAATGTATTTTAATAGAAGTGAATTTTATGTTGGTTTTGATGGTTTTAACTTTTAGCTACCTAATTGAATACGTAAGTACTAAGTGGCATGGCAAAATAAAAAAATAATATTTTTATATCATGCGAAAAATTATACTACACGTGATAAAACCGTTTTGTATTGACATTAATATTTCAAATGTTCCATTCACTCGACTTCTTTTTTTGTTTGCACAGTATTATTAAATTATATCGAACAGCAAATTAACAACAAAAAAACTGTAAAATATATACACTGAATACACATTATGAAAATGATCACAATGCTTATAATATTTTATTCGCAGAAAATTATAAAAAGCAAATACAAATTAAAAATCGGAATAAAAATTAATTATTGAAATGTAATTTACGTGTAGAAATTATAAGTTATCCTACATATCTATTTATCATTGTAACTTAATTAGAATTTAAAATATATCGTCTATAATATAACTTTTTTTCATTATAAGACAAAATTTAATTACGGTTCTATTTTCTTAATATTATATCTATAAATTACAGTACTTAAAAGTTGTAAGTAATAAAATGCAATTTAGGGACTATTTTGATTTTCCATTTTCTATTCCTTCAACTATTTTGATACTAAAAAGTTGAGAAATATTTATCTCACAATAAAATGTTTTAAAAACGATCATACAGACTTAACTTTAAATAAGGTGCATTTATTTTTACAAACTCATGTATGCATATTTATAAATACAAATAATTTGATAAATAATTTAAAATAAATTTAGTATACAGCCTATTTTTATTTATACTATGTTGACGACACACTAATAAGTAATAAACCCCTCTCACTAAAACCACTGAACAGCTGGTGATACGATTGAAAACCATTTAAATATGGTTATCTAGTGGACAAACAGGTGAAAAATCGGGCATGTACCAGTTGCCCCCAAAAGTACCTTTTTTTTATACCAAATTCTCCCAAACTACCTAGAGGAAAAAGTACCAGTTGCCCTCACATGTTAATATATACACAAATACAATATATAGCTCGTAAAATAAGGGAGGTAAATATACAAATCATAAATAAAATATAAAATTCAATATTATAATAATTTGTTAATATAAAATAGTACAAAATCAAAATATAATAATTTGTCAACATATAAATAGTATAAAATTCAAAAGTATTATGTTTTGTTATAATAATTACTAATCGATTTTACAAAATCTAATCTGCTAATATTTTTGCTTTTATATTTATTTTATCGCATACAATAATTGACGGATTGAATTCAAGTTCAAAGCCAGAGCAATTTTCTTTTAACATACTAAATAACAATTCATACGTTTTCGATGATTATATCCACTCAGACGCATCTAAAATTACATGTTATGTTGACAAATTATTATAATTTTTAATTTTATATTTTATTTATGATTTGTATATTTACCTCCCCTATTTTACGAGCTATATATTGTATTGTGTATATATTAACATGTGAGGGTAACTGGTACATTCAATTGGGGGCAAATGGTACATTTGATTGGGGGCAACTGGTAAACACCCGAAAAATCAAAATAAACTAATCCAAACCCGTTCATGTACCATTTTCACTTAGAAATCTCGATTGACCACCTGTTACGTTCAATAATCAAAAAATTGAAAAACAAAAAATAGAGTTAAAAATCTTGGTCTAACTCTAGATAAAAATTAGAAATATTTAGTTAGAATAAAAAATTATACATACATATTCTGTAAATTAAAATTCAACATGTAAGACATAAGTATTTATTATTATTAATTCAAAATATATTCGTCACTGTTTACATATGTAAGCTATTTACTCGTAAATTAACACAATTTTTTAACAAATAGGTATGTAACAGTATAACAATACTACACAGAACAATTTTTAAAACAATGGTCTATTTTATTTTTTCAGTTAATTTATGATTTTTTTATATTACTATTTGAATTTCTCAATTTTTATAATAATACAGTTTATAAAATATGAGAAAGAACAGATGTTCAAGAGAAGTTGTGGGGTCGTTTCACAAAAAAAAAAAAAAATGTCACTAAGCTAACAATAAAGCAAAACGTGGTGTTACAGATAGGACGAGATAAGATTTTAAATTAGGAAGTTTGTGTCGATAATATCAATACTGACCAAGAATAGTCAATTTTTTATTTGGTCTTGCACGTGATTAAAATTAGTTAATGTCGTTTATTTCAAATACATTATCCGAAAACACAAAATATCTCGTTTTTTTTAGTTTTTACTGTATTTAAACCACATTTTTAATGACATATCAAATGTTGTAACCTTAAACCCAATTGTTCAGACTCGTCCTGATGCTAATAGGTTTTGAGCATGTCTCGGAATTGAGAAGAAGTCACTGTAAGGAATGAGTTAAAATTGAATTCAACAATAAATAAATAAATACAAAAAACTACTCTGATCGAAGACTGTATGTCCATTTCCAAGGAAATATTATAATAATCTATTAATATCTATTATTAGTTATTATTTTATCAATTATCATTATTTATTGTATTGTTGATATGGTAGTTTATCAAAAACATTATACATTTTATTGTATTTTATTGTATCATTTATGTAAGAAAATGTTTGAGGAAATATTGTTATTTCACTTTTGAATATTTAATTTCTACAAAATTTGAACTTCAAACGATTCAAAAAAATGTAGAGGGTGTATTTTTAATATTTTTGAACTGTTGTGAAACTACCTAACATTTGAGGAACAGTGTTCTATTAAATTTTCAAGCTATCCAATACATACCTCTCTACACTCAAAATCTAAAATCGAGATTAAATTGTTAATGTAAAACTAATAATATTGTATAGTTAAGATTTAGAGTCAAGTTAGTAGCTAATAAATAAATTTAATTTCTCATTTTAATAATACAATATGTTAGACTGACGACTTTCGTCATTTGCGATCTTTGTGTGCGTCATGCAGCTGTCGTCAAATGGGTAGAGCGGCAACGAGGAAGAGTTCAGACGAAGTGGATTGACAATAACAAGGTACAGTGTTTTGCACATCAGGTGACGATCTAAGTATATTTTCATTTTTTTTTTTTGAATTCCAATAAAGTACTTATGGTGAATTTCCAATTGTGTATTAAATTGTTACTATATAAATTTTAAATAAATAAGTTTAAACTTGCAAATTTTCGTTTTGACAGATTTTGTCATAAATTGTATTTTAAGCACTTACAAAAAATGAGTCTACGTCAATTGGTCGTATACAATTGGTCGTTGTAAAATTGGTCGTCTGAAATTGGTCGTTTTGTAAATTGATCGTTTTGTAAATTGGCCGTTTGGTAAATTGGCCGTTTGGTAAAATAGTCGTAGTATATTTTCGTCGCGAAACGTGAATACTGGTTAAAAACGTTATGTAGGTCAAATGGACAATAATCATTATAAAACGTTTTGCGATAATAAGTTGAATAATAGCATGTGCAAATGAAAAACTATCATTATTACAAGCTATATTATATTACGATAACAATTATTATCGGATGATCTTTATCTGAAATAAAAATAATGTTTAATTTATAGTGTATAATATTGTGTCTGTGTGCACGAATTTCAGTTGACTGTGATAGACGGTGTAGTCTAGTGCTAATAATTATATAAGTAGTTGGGTTAATAAAAAAAAAAAAATAATAACAATTAAGATGCCTCTAAATTTTGTTAAAAGTGAAAGAGGAAAATATATGCTCGTGCATGATGGTTTTTTATATCGTTTTGAAAGTAAAAATGATAAAAAAACTATATGGAAATGTGTTGAAAATTTAAAAAAAAAATGTAAAGCCAGAATACATACAGATGAAAATTCCATTATAAGTGATGTAACCAAGATATCACATGTTCATTTTCCCGATATTGCCAAAATCGAAGCGAAAAGAGCAATGGAAAATTTAAAGGAGCTTGCTAAGAAAACTGAACTAAGTACTCAATCTGTTGTAGCAACTGTTGCTTCAGAGGTAATATATACAATTTGTTTAAATAATAATTTAATTTTTCTAATATATTATTATATTATACAACCTAATATAATTTTTAATATTTTTAGTTAAATACAGCAGTTTCTGGTCAAATGCCTGGCATACCGTTAATGAAAAGGACTATTCTGCGAGTAAGAGAACGTGAAAATGCAGCACCAGGTATACCGCAATCATTATATGATCTTGTTATCCCAGAAGAGTATAAAAAAACATCAGATGGTAAGTCATTTTTACTATTTGATTCTTTCGATCATGACCCGGATAACTGCGATAGATTTTTATTATTTTCAACGGAAGAAAATTTGCAAAAAATGTCCGAATGTGATCATTGGTATGCAGATGGCACATTTTCATGTGCCCCATCTATTTTCAAACAATTGTATACTATCCATGGAATACAATGTTCAAATGTCTTACCTTCGGTTTATGCACTCTTACCAAATAAAAAAAAGAAAACATATATTCGTTTGTTGCAAAGTCTAAAAACATTAAACTGCAACTTAAAACCAAAAACGGTCATGTTAGATTTTGAAATTGGTGCAATGACTGCTTTCAAAAAAGAATTCAGTGATATGGACTGGAATCTGATTTATCGAGATTACTTGACTATTTTGAAGAAACGTGGGTTGGTAAAATGGACAGGAACGGGAAAAGGAAAAATCCAAAATTTTCAATTACAATTTGGAATTGCTATGCTGATGAATATAACCTTCCAAAAACTAATAATTCAGTAGAAGGATGGCATAATGGTTTTTCGTCCATATTAAATGCTATTCACCCTAACATTTGGAAATTTATAAGAGCCCTACAAAAAGAAGAAAAACTAAATCGTCTGAAAATGGTCCAATATTGCAATGGAGCAGAAACACCTAGAAAACGAAAGAAATATAATGACACCGCTGAGAGAATAAATACAATATGTAAAACATTTAATAATAGAACATTTGATGAATATATGTCTGGGATAGCTCATAACTTGTAATATTATTTTTTAAAACTTATAATTATTGTCACATATATTATTTTTACGCATATTATTTTTTAAAACTTATAATTATTGTCATATATATTATTTTTTAAAACTTATAATTATTATCATATATATTATTTTTACAAATATTATTTACATATTTGTTGCATATTATTATTATTTACACATATTATTTTGAAAACGACTAATTTACCAAACGGCTAATTTACCAAACGACCAATTCACCAAACGACCAATTTCAGACGACCAATTTTACCACGACCAATTTCATACGACAAATTGACTGTACCCCACAAAAAATATTTGACCATCATGTATTTTTAATATCTTTTGATCGATATATGAATATTTTATGACTTATTAGTAATCTTGAATAACATTTCTTTATGTTTTTGATCGAGCGAAAATTATTTTTATTGATATTATTTATAGAACAAAAACTAAAAAAAATCGAATATTGTAATGTTTATTTATAGGTCTAGAGATAGCAATGTATTTTTAAAATATTATCATTTTTATAAAATTCTAATATAAACGTTTGGTGAAAATTTCAAGTATCTACGTTTATTCCTCAAAGAGTTACCATAAACAAAATAAAAATCAATTTTTTCGAAAACTGGCCCTCAAATCTAATATTCTATCTGAATCCACCCTCGAAGTAGAAGTATTTTTTCTTCTATTTCCAGTGACATAAAAGTAAAAATAATAGAGTCGGCATTATGACAGCGTATGTATTTCGAAGCAGGAGTTGCCAATTTAAACTTTGTGAATATTAAAATATCAACATTTATTTTTCAGGCGGGATTGCTAATTATCCACTGAATAAAAATACCCAGTGAAATTTAAAACATCAAACACATTGAGCACACGACCCTTTTGTAAAAATCGTCTTAATTATGAGGTTAGAAACTAATACTTATTAAATGAAACATGCAAACTTTTCAATGAAAAATTAATGACATTATCGTTCGCTCTGCTTTGCAGTGACAAGATCCCTGGTCATTGTGGTATCCCTATTTTATCATATTATTATTATACCATCCTACTCCCACTCCCAGTTTATTTAGTTCTATCTATGTCTGTGATTGTAACTCCATCATATAAGGATATAATTGTTCTTCTAGTTTTATGGATAATCTATTGAATGATCTTTTTTCTTTGCATATTTTTGTTTTACATTGAGTAATTTTGGAGTAATTTTATAGGGTTTTGTGTACTTTGAGGAAGCAATTCCTTGATGTAGCCGGAGTTTGTAGTCATCTGTGCATAACTCGAGTCATTTACTTGATTGTGTCTTTCTTAATTGGTGGAAATTATTTTTCTTATTGGGAGAGGTGCTTTACTTGTCAGTAATTATATTTTCTCTATTTATGAGGAATTTAGTTTTAGTAAAACAAAAACCGTTCAGAGCAGTTTATATTTTATTAACCTAAGCTGACCTTCCCCACACTTCATACAACCAAACAATGTATTAAGAACAATTAAATAAAAGCATATCCATAGTCACAAAACGGCAAAATTAAATGTATTAAAGAAAATGTAACATAAAAGCTATGAATAGTTTATTTAATGATTTTAATGTATTTAAAAATCAACAAAACAATATAAACATAATATAACTTTCTTCCTTATTTATTTAAACTTGGTTTTGAAACATAATATTATTAAACGAGACTATTTTCAGATTATGGTGATTATGTAAGTACACATTCATTCAACTTCAATTTACTCCTATTCAATGTCTAGCACAGTAAAAAAAAATGAATTACAAATCATGTTTTTTTTTTATGTTTCTGTTTGAATACATTTCAATTAGAAAAACTCTACTCTTTGATAGTTCAGTTATGAATAAAAATAATTTGAACGATAATAGCAACAAAAAAATAATAAAAAAATTAACGAGTCAGTCGATCTCAGCTTTTTTTAGATTTTAATATTATAATAATATATTATATGAATTTCAGTAAAATTTGTCTATTAAATTGTAATGTTTGTATTATCTAACAAAATAAATTAAATAAATGAATAACCTAACTATTATTGAGTTTAGACTCCATGAGGATTGTAAGCCCCCTAATTGCCGACCGGGTACTTTTTGGTCGGGTCACCAACCCCGAGCTGAGGCTTTGCAGAGCCAGATTATAGTGGATTTACTATATTAAATATTTTAATGTTATAGTATTGTTTGGATTTGACTTTTTGAGATAAAAGAAAGAAAATTAAATAATTGTAGACATTGATTCAAAATAAGAGTTATTGGTGTTGGGTGCAGAAAAATAGGTTAGTCATAAAACTTGGATTCAGGTAATAAAAAAATCGGGAGGTACATAGTATAATCAACACAAGATTATGAAAATCACCGATTTGATGGTCAATTTTTATACCAACAACACATTATACAATATATGATTACATGTGTTCACCATAAGGATGATAATAATACTGAATAAAAATATTACGAAGGGGTTTAGAACGCTCGTAGACATGGGCAGACTGGTTGAGCCACAAGCCAACCAACATATTTTATTCAGGGAGCGGCTCAAAGGTCAGAAATGAGAAAAAACCCTCAATACAGAACCCAGGCAGATCCAAAGGGTAGGTTAACATTACATGTTATTAAAATAAGTGATAAGTTTACAACATACCAGTCAGGTAGGTGGTTCGTAGAAAGTCGTGTCATCGCCATCATCCACCGATTTTTCCCCATCAGAGGTCCTGCCGGGGGAGCGATTTGCTAAGGACTTAAACTATGATCGATCGGTAATGGATTTTGAGAAAAAAATGAATAAGGACCACCGTCCATCCGTCAATTTTGACGACCATCTGGGTGTGTTAAATAAAGAGAGAATCGGTATATAGATTATATTCTATCTTATATGAAAGTCGTCAAGTTGATTATAATATGGTGGGCAGTGATTATCGTCTCGACGATAACGACAGCGGTGGCGTTATATAGCTGGCTCGCGGCAGTGTATATATATTTTGTCTGGACTAATAATTACTCATATGTAGCAATAACAATTTAATAATTTGACGTCACAAATTGATTCCAGGAAAATAATGAACTAACTGAGTATAATTACTATTACCAAAATAACATACATAATATATAGGTAGTGTTACTGTTAAATATATATATATATATATATTTATACTTAAATAATGAATATAATTATATACATATATATATATTTATCAGGACCTTGCATTAAGTTAATCAACATTGTGTAAATTACAAATAACGACTCTGTACGGTTTGTCTTCTTTAACTTGGTATCAAAGAAATCAAAAATCAATTTCTTCTATAGATATTTGACAACAGTCAACAGCCCTGTAAAAGGTCGGGCTGGACATATTAAGTTTTAGGCCTTCTGTGAAACTTTCTTATTAAAATCCGGTTTATTCGTTTACAAAAATGAGTATAGTTTAATAGAGGTTAGATAAAAGTAGGTGGTGAGTTATGTTTTTTTTTGTATCATTTTTTTAAGTTGTTTGGGGTTCATTCGGGATTCGAATAAATGAAAATGTTGGAATCCTTTTTTTTGATAACAGAGGTCTACAGCGATATATTATTTGGTAAACACAGACGTGTGCTTGTTTTGACTTTCGACTACCTATTTGACTTGCTAGTCATATTGGTTACCAGTGAAGCAAAAAATAAACAACCACTTATGCGGCTCTCATTATGTAGAAAATAAGAAATGAGAAACCAACCGTGGAGTAAGCAGCAACCATGCAAACAGCGATTCCAACCAGTTTTGCTGGTACCTATAGCTAGCTTAATCGTGTTCATGAGGCCAACATATTAATTTAATTTAATTTATGGTTTCTTACGTTTACCCATAGTACCTAGTATAGATATGGAACAGATCGGTTTTTTTATAAACAATTGGTTTTATTTAATGTGTATTAAAAAAAAGAAAATAATAATGATCAAAAATAATGAGCAAAAATAAATGATAAATGAAAAATAAGCAAAAGTGCCACAGAATATAATATAATATTGCTACAACAGTCATAATTATACGATTGAAGTATGCACTCATAATATTTTAAATTCGAATGTAACTTAAAAATAAGAAATTAAAATAAAAATAACATTTGTACCTAATACCTTTGTTCATCACTTTTATAGTTAAGTTACTACTGATAAATAATATAATAAACTAACTTCAAATATATATATCAAATTAATGATAATAATAAGTTAGCTTATGTTTTGATTCAAATTATAAAAGGTTGTGGTGTGGAGGGTGAAACACGAAATAGCCTAGCTTTTAACCAACAACTTTTTTATGACGATGCCACAAATCATAACATGCAGAAAATGTAATAAATTAAATTGCATATTTCTTGGGGCCATATACTTTTTTTAAAACAAATATTTTTATTTTAATTGAAATTGATCATAATGTTTTTTTTTAGTAAGAAATTCATTATAATGAAACATTCAAACATTTAGATGCACGTTAAGTTCAACATTTATATGAAAAAAAAATGATTACTTTAAAAAGAAAAATCGAAAAGGAAATATTATATTCAACTTCATCATAAAACGAATAACAATATTTTTTTTTTGTACTTAAATTAATGAACTATTTTAAATTTTAGGTTCGACAATTTTAATTATTTAGATTATTCACTGAGCGTTTGCGCAGTTATAGATACACAACTTATATCAATTAATTTTTGTTCTCAGATATTGTTTACCTGTAAATAATTATATGAAATAACCCATTTGAGAAGTTATTGCACCTCTCCCCCTCCAACACCACATATGAAAGTTATACATACGCCACTGAAATCAAGTACCAAAATGTCTCGAGAATCTAAATGAACTTAATTTACTTAAATTTAAAATGTCATATGAGTTTGATAATAAAGTAATACAATACCTATATATTTAAAATCCGAGTATACAAGATGTTTTTTTTGAATTTCTACAATGCTTATAACAAGCAACCTAAAAAGTAAATAGTATTCGATTGACGATATTATATACAAATCAAAAAATTATAGTGGTTTAATATACATTTAAACCTCTCACAAAAGTTATTGGTTGATTTCATAGTGACATGTAATGATAATGCTTTATTTTTATGCTTAATTTAAATATAAATTATCTTGATTAAATGTCACAAAAATTGAATATTTGATCTAATAAATAATAATTCAAAAAATAATAAAGAAAATAAAGCAGAAAAATTGTTAACGCAATAATCGACTAAATAGTTCTTTTCACTCCATCCTAAATCTATAAAACAATTTAAAAAATATATGGCGAAAATATTCATATAAAATGAACACAACAATAGATGAAAGAAAACAACTTGTAATAAAAATGAATAGATTCCAAGAAATATCATAAGATACTAAATAGGGTCTATGAATATAAACAGTAAAATAACAAAATAAATAGGTAATTACAAGTTTTTTTATAAACGTTCGCAATTTGAAATTAGAAAGAATTCATCAAAATCACGAAAATGTTTACATTACATAATGTAAAATTGAAAATTCATAAAATTAATCACTAGAGACATTATCTGACTAGGGCAACTTTTTCGCTCACTGCAAAGTATAATCATCATATTGTTACTTGTACGTATAATCACAACTTTAGAATAAATATTTTAGTGATAGCGTGTAGGTGTACCTAGTTGTTTTATTTACTTTTAATATAATATACATGTAATATATTATTTTATAAATTATAATTCCCTTTTTAATATCTTAAGAAATTAACTTAATAAAACTACATATTATATCAACCATCGTATAGTATAAAGATTTTCTATTTTGTTTATTTTAAAAATGAAAATTCGTGTACAACTAATACATAAGTTACTATTACATTACGGGACTGGGGCCTGAATACCTACAACGATTTCATAACTATTTAAAATAATTTAATTCTTTAGCTACTTTAATTAATGGAAACTATAAATAATAATATAAAATGTCATAATATAATATGTATAAAACAATATAACAAATAAAATCAAAAGTACAGCCTATAAAAATTGTAAGATGCATCGTATAAAATGTGTATTTTATAAATGTATTAAAATACTTTCACATAAAAAAATCACAATATTATAATTCAAAATAAACTTACCTTATTTTCGTCAAACACTCTGAATACAAGTGATGCGAATTTTGTTGGATCACCTTGAGGGAAAAACTGTCTGTATATTTTTATAAATCCCTGAAAATTAATAATATTTTTGTTAAGATCAAATATGAGAAGCTTATTACAAGATTACATTACAAAAATTCAGTTATATAATTAACCTAATATATTTAAAAAAACAGATTTTTATTTAAATATATAAATATATATTTAGCGTGTAGATGTTGTAAAATATAGAAGAAAAATATATAATTTTATTGTTTTTTTACAGCATCAACTTTTAAGGTTATTAGTTTAAAAAAATAGTATAAGAAAAATGTTGATAATACCTATGTATAATTAACATACTGCTGCTTATTACGTTTAACATAATATCTATTAATTTAATTTAAAAACAAGATAACGCATGATATTATCCACTGTTATACAGAAAATAATAATTTTGTAATTGTAATTAAGCTCGTTGTCGTGTATATCTTGTCATATTTTATTACATACTTTAGAATTCACTTTAATTATTTGAGAATAATTAAATATTTTCTGCCTTAAGATATCCGATACTTGAATTCTTTGAATAAAATTATGAGTTCTATCAACCTGTAGTTGGTCGTAAACTTAAGAGTAATAACCAATAAGTTAGCATAATAATATTTTTAAAAGAAGACTTTCTTGCCCGTGACATCCAAATTAAATAATAATAACCATCTGTTTTTTTATTCTGTGTAATCAATGGCAAATAGAAATACACAAAACAATTTTATTTTAGTATTTTAAAGACAAAATATACGTGTACGCTACCCTAGGTTAGGTTAGGTTATGTCTCTGAGCTGAACATTTCAGCTTGAGCATGGTGGAATCACAGTGGAAAAACGTATTGTGAACAAACAAATGCATACTACTTGTAATAATATGTATAAACATAAAGCCCAAAAAACTTAAACTAACTCTATTTTTAAGTTGAAATAAATGATTTTTTTTTACTAAAGAAATTGAATATTTCGAATAACTGATAAACAATATAAACACGAAAAATAATGAAGATTTTTTTAATTGGAATGTACAAAATTGTATGAATATAATGCTATTGTAGCATTTCATAGCTATTATGTAACTATGAACATTTGACATACTACCATTAACTATTAATACTATAGTATTTATAATCGATGATACTACTTCAGGTTTAACCGTGATTTATAAGAACAAGTATTTAATTGTCTGTATAATGTACAGATAAATAAATAATTCCATTACTAAAAAAAAAAAAACATTGACATGAATATTAATATTATAATGAATAACTTACTTGTTCCGTCAGTAGTCCGTTTGGGCAATCCTTTAGAAAACCTTTGTGCCTATTAACATATCAAACAAATAGGTTGAGTAAATAATATGTACTTAATAATTAATGTAATATCATAAGTAATTATATTTATTCATACAACTTCGCGAAATTGTTGGTGGAATGATTGAGAAGGAAATTATAGATTGTTCTTATTGTTATAAATTGCCTACTCTTTATCTTTAAGACTTGGTTATAGCTTTTCATTATTGATTCGTTGTTATTTGTTAAACCATGAAAATTTTTGATGTGTAATGACAATCAATTATGTTATATCATAATAACCCTGAAATATAGTAATTTATAAAATTGCCACCATAGACCATTATGCTAACTTGAAAGTTGAAATTTATACCACATGTAGAGAGGTCCACAATCAACCACTGTGCGTACATCACCAATATTAGAACAGTTCAACATCACACATCTTGAAATCATTAATTCCATGCGGCCTACAATTAATAATTTAAACATTAAAAACAGTCTGATGGGACTTTATAATTCTCTTCTCGACAAAGCTCTCTTCACCGACCTAGATCATTTCAAGCAATAAAAAAAACTAATTCTTAATAAATATTAAAAATACAGCCACGACCCAAAAATATTATAAAATGGAACCTCGACGGAATCCATAAAAATATCGATGCAATTAAACAAACAACCAACTTACATCAAAAATTGCAATAATATGTTTTCAAGATACAAACCTAAAATACGACGAATCTCCACTTAATATAAATAGTTACCAGTATGTTAAAAACAAACCATAAAGATTTGTTAAAAGAAAGTGGTGGTGTGTGCACACCCATCAACAGCTTATTTTCTTGAAAGGAAATCCCTATCTGTTCAAACATAGAAGGAATCTCAAACATTTCATTATTGTCGGGGACTTTAATAGCCACAGTCCTACATGGAGTTCATATAAAACTGATCTAAGAGGAAAATTATTAGAACCCGATTACATTGTGATACTCAATAATAACGAGCAAACCAGAATAAATCCATCTAATAGGAATATCTCAGCTATTGACTTAACGTTTCCCACTCCTACCATAGCACAAAAACTTATCTGGCAAGTATTAAATCAAATATACAATAGTGACCATATTCCAATTTGTATTCAATTCCTCTCCAAATCATATCAAACGAGCCACTCTACAATAAAATGAAACCTCAAAAACTCAGACTGGCCACTATTTTCAAACTAGCTGGAAATAAAAATTAATTCGACAGATTTCACTAGCAGTGGTATATATAACTGTCACTAAATTCACAAAGAACATCATAGAGGCAGTAAAACAAACAATTGATTACTTAAAACTCTCCGCCAAAAACCACGAGTCCCGTGGTTGAACAAAGAAATCAAACTATATAATATATCACCCAAAAATAAAACACTATAAACATTTACAAAAACCAGATCACTTGAGGACCATATCAAAATAAAATAACTCAGAGCTAAAACACGATTCTTTGTCAAAAACAGCTCCAACATTATAAGACTTCACAACATCGGAGCCCAGGCCAATCACTAAATAATGTCGAACAAAACCTGTTCATTACAGGGACAAAAAAACACAATATTACACCAGCAAGTCATCTTTTAACACTGATCTATCTTCAATTGTACACCACCCAGGTGAATGTTTTAAAGGCAAGAATTCTTAAGGGAGAAAGTAGACAAACCATCTCCTTAGCCCTCTTTAATATCACCCCAAAATATTCATCAGTCTCAGTTAAACAAACCAATAACAACCAATGAAATCCTGCATGCCCTGAAAAAATGTACCGGAAAGAGTATTGGGCCAGACAATATCCCTTATAGTTGTATTCGAAACTTAACCATTAATACGGTTCAGATACTCCTAAAAATTGCTTGCGATGTCCAATTCACCATCAACCATATCTCACTGAATGCCGAATATATCACAACATCAGAACCAGTCACTACCTGCCAGAGTCACTAGCCGAAATACTCCACAATCACCTTCAATCCATATCCAACATCATCCAATTCATCAGACCCACCAATCTCCAAACCAAAATTTAAAATCATTTAAAAATATGAACTGCCATGTTGGTAGGTAAAATTACAATCAAATATTTAGTATGATTTATAATTCAGTCTATCTATAAGTAAAACCATTTTTATCTTGGGAATTAAGATTTACCTATGGATTTTACATACATACGCCTTTATACTTTATTAGATACTATGTTCTCCGAACATTTCATGATGGTCATTTTATAACTCACTTGGCAGTTTTTTGAATCACACAATGCCGATTCACGTACCTAATACCTCTAAACTCTAAAGTTTAAATAATTTGTTGTTGAAAGGTTCCAACTAAATATGTGATTAAGCCTTAGATATTTCTATATTATAGTAAATTTTAACTAACATTAGGAAAATCACATATCCACTTTAAAGAATATACATTCTCATTTTGTTCATACTGTTACCTATCAATTTTTGAAACATAGAGGGTGTACGTATTGATTAAATACTAATATACACAATACACAAATGAACCGAGTTATTTCGTATTCAATTTAAATATATATTTTAAAGCGTACCAGTAGTAAAGAGCTAATTAATAGCCTATAACCCATAGTAAGGTTCAACAAGTAGGTATATTAATCTAAAAGGGTTCTTGGTAATGAACATGACAATTTTGAAATAATTTGTTTGATCAATGTATTTGTTTCTATTACAATTAAATAAACACGCAATTGAATTTGGAATGGAAGCATTATTATTTGACTTACTTGCCATTGTTTATTACATTCAAATATTGAATTAAGTAATAGGTAAAGTGTATACTCTCTGTGTATATTATAAGTTGAATACAACTATACAAGTAACTGATGACCATTTAAACTTTGACTTGAAATTACATAGGTGACAACTAATAAATATGTATCACGAGTATTACCAGAATTGGGAAATCTCGATTTAAATTATTCATGAATAATTTAATTCTTAAGTGAAAATTGTATTTGATCATGAATAATATTATATTCACAAATACCTAATAAAGAATTATAATCATGAATAATATTTCGGTTTTAAAGAATTATTAAATTTAACAGAATCAATATTTTGCTTACAAAAAAAATATATAAATTTAATCATGGTTAATATTATTTTTTTTTAATTGCTTGAGCTTTTGTAAATCTAATAGAGAAACCTAAAGTAAAAAAGGTTGAAAACCCCTGTCCAAAATCGTGTCAATTAATCGGTCTAATTTACGTAATTACGTGCTTATAACTTTATGAGCCTGTGAATCGTGTTCTACCAAATTCAAAAACATAAAAACAAAACTTTAAAGCCAATTAATTTCATAATGTATCTAAATAGTTTTATTCGCATAGAAAATCAATTTTGTTTATTAAAAATTAACTTTTTAATACAAGCAACTAAAATGTAATTAATTAAAAATTGAATCGTGAATAACGAATAAATGTTACTATTGCTATTTAAACATTTGAATCATGAATAACAAATAAACGCACCATGATCTAAAAAAATAATCATAAATAACGAATAAATAGTCCACGAATACACGATTAAATGAATAAATGAATGACGAATAATTTTTAGTTTGTATTTTTCATCAAATAAATAGTTATTTGAATAATTCCCATCTGAGATTAACTACTTTAGTATAATTAGATAAATAATTTTAAACTGTTATAATTAATTAAAAATTGTAATTCAACAGACCGATTTATACATACACAACATATGTGAGATTACTTGTGTCTAGTATGTGTATGTAACAAAGTTTAGGAGTATTTTCTAAAATCTAAAACAAGACATTATTAAGTTTATGAATGATTAGCTAAATATAGAAAATATTAAACAAGCTTATCAATAATGTTGTAAGACTTACTAACTTTTTAAGTAAGTAGTTAACCTCAAAATAATTAATTAACAAAATAAGCCAATGAATTCCCAATTCCCAGGTGATCCAGGAAAATCTCAGGAACTCTGTGTGCATTGGAAATAACCATTTAATCATGATCTCGGAAACCCATCATTCTAAGGATTTCGGTGTTTTATGGTACACACTATTCCAAACACGTTTTTTTAACTTTTGTAGAGAATAATTACATTATACTTGAACATGAACACTTGCTTAAAAAAAATATACTATCGTATTACCTACCACGAACGCAATATATTTCCAAGTGATTTTCTTTTCCTAACTTTTATCTTTATATAAGGTTAGTTTATTTTCCTAAATTATTACATTATTATTTATTATAATACAACTAATTAATGACCATCATTAGGGGTGGTACATTTCATTTTGCTAAAACTATAATATAAGTTGATAACATTTTTATTTATGATTTTGATAGTCAAAACAATAGTTTATATAAGCATTAAATATTAAGTTACAGGGAAAAACTTAAAAAAATAATCCATTTGATAATTCAAAATGTGTGAAACAATTTAAAAATAAACACAGTTAACAGGTTACTAACTACCTTTCAATAATATAAAAATATAAATAACCCTGAAATAAATTATTAAGTATTTACTAAATCAAAATTATTGATGTTGATGATCAATAAATGTAAATAAAATGAAAATGAAAAAACCTACTAGTATAATTTAAAAAATGGGGATATTATTTATTGTGTATGAGTTTTATCAAGTCAATAAAGTATTAAAATTTAAAATTAAATAAATACACTAAATTTAAAATATGAAGAAAATTCAATATTATTAAAATCACAAGACTAAATCAGGATACTTATTTACAATACCCACAAAACGATTGTATGATTATAAAATAAATAACGAAGCTTTTTTAATGCGATACAAGTTTTCAAGAAGAGGTATAGGTAATGTTCCGCAAAATAAAATAGCTTGAAAACCACTAAAATAAAGGTAATTTTATTAAAAAAAAAAATGCTTTAGATTAAGTTTTAGTTGACTGATTACAACCTTTAAAATATCGACATCAAAAGATCCTGGCTTTCAGACTACCTATGTAGTGTCTACTTATATTATAATAATAGGGTTGTACTTTAAACATAATAATTAGTTGCCATATAATTTGCAGTCGTATTGGTTGAACAGCTATCATACTTTTTGACAGAGTAGATTCAATCGCACTTACGTCGTCGATGCAACAATGTATAACATTATGTAATAATGTAATACTATCATATTGAATTAGCGTTTAATCAAAACAAAGATCTCATCGCACTAGATAATGTTATATTAACATAGATATGTTTTTGGCTAGGGTACAACTATTTTTCAACAGATTTTTGTGAGACCGATTTTTGTACCACTTTGTCCATTACCAAACAAAAGCAAATCCAACAATAAAACAAAAATAATTAAATACATTCTTAACAAAATGTAAAATGTTTCTAAATATGTTTCCACTATACACCATACACAAAAACATATTATCTATGATACCTCAATGGTCCTTGTAGTGGAAAAATATTTAGTAGAATGCTACTTATAATATATACCAAGACGGGCTATAGGTATCAACGACATATTTGAGTTGATACGTAAAGTTGATTTATCTGTTATCAAACTTAAAGAGTAATGACAAATGATCATTACTTGTGTCACTACATCGGATATTTTACGATATTTTATTTTCGTGTAAGTTATAAGAATATAAATTATTACATTTTAAAAATGCTTAGAAATTTCATAAAAATTAAAATATCGTAAAAAACCAACGTAGCTACACAGGTAATATTTTTCATTTAATGATTGATATAGATGAATTCACTCTAATATTAAAAGTAACCGCACGGGGCTGGTTCTGCTAGACGTAAATTTGGTATGTTGTGTGAGGGCCAGAGAGAGAAAACAAATAGTACTCAAATATCCTCTTGATTCATTCTGTTGATAAGTTATCATAAGATATAAATACTAATAAATATTTTCCCACCAAAAATCGTACGACTTACGTATGATGTAACTACACTGACCATGAAAATTAAATTATTTTGGTTTTAAGATGTGGTCGAGAGTATTGTGGTAATTGCAGTAAATATTAACTTAATGTTTCTGTGGTACACACAATGTAGCAAAATACTATAGCGCTCTAAAAATGTTCAGTTAGCATAGCAAAAATTGTAATTTGTTGTTGCAAAAAATGATTTAATGACAATTATTGAAATATTTTAAATAATGTTTCATGGCTATATTTAAAATTATTTAAATAGGACTCCAACTCATTGAGCAATGCAATATGATACAACACGTGATAAATTGATAACTATTATATTTTGAATATTTTGATAATGAATTTTAAATTGATGTAATTAATAAATTAACTGATAAATAATTGATATTGAACTAAGTATGTAATGGTATGTTGAGCCCTGATACAAAAAAACCAGTAGGTAGTGTCTCCACCACTATTGGTTTCAATAATCCAATTGAATTAATTGTTGACATATTTAAAAGTTTAAGTGTATTTAATAAATTCAGAACATTAATACCTATGTAGTTAGGTCTTTATTTACTCTTTTAGTTATACCATTTAATTTAATGGGTAATAATTGTTGATCATTATGTAATTTAAAAAAAAAATTGATTTGTATTATAATATGTATTGTGTTAACATACAGGTATCTTACACTTTTTTTTTTTATTTATTTTTTTTATTAGCTTCTTGTATATACAATTATAGCTCTACAGTTATTATGAAATCTTATACTTTATTTTATTTGTTTGTAAATTGTTGAACTCGTTACAACAAACTCGTGATCCAAAAAATATCATATAGGTGAACGGTGGTACAGTTGTTATTTAGCCACGGATGCCCGCATCTTTATAAAGTAAAACTACCAAAATTAACTTATAATTTATTGTATGTTATTACATTTAAAAAAATTTCTAGTGTGATTGTGTTAACGAAAACCGAAAATGTAATCAGGTGATATTAATATTATCATAGGCATGAACGATGAATTGTCACCGATGTCAATAAATTTACATTCATCAAAAAATATGACCACCCCCATTGAATTTTTCAGCAATGAACAGCTAAGAACAACAGATTCGATTGCCCATACCTAAATACGTTCCTACCTCAGCACATAATGTTGTACAGCCATTATATTGACAGCCTGAATATCTAAGTGCATTTCGATACGAAAAAATATAAACAGTTGTGATAAGTATAAAATAATGAAATAACAAAATTACTAGTTAGTACGAATCTACTTGAAAAGGATTCAATTCTCTATTCTAAATCTCAAATAGTATTTTTCCATAACAACTCGAAAGCATTTTTGGTGTATAAAAAACCTAACCAGATAACATTTTGAGCGAAATTAATTTAAAAGATAATTTATGTTTTAATTTAAATATACTTTATATACTACTTGCATTTCAATATCTACCGCATTTCTGTATTTATTTTCAATTATAAAAATAAAGATTTATAATTCAGCCGATATGGTAATAAAAAAAAAAATTAAAATGAATAATACAAAATGTACTCACCATTGTCTGATTTCTTTTTCCGAAACTAAGCAGCGCAACACATAAACAAAACATAATAATATATTAGTAAGTATGCAAAATAAAAACAAAAATAACACTTGTTAGTTTAAGGGATAATTTATAATTTTTTTTTTTAAATTGTTTCTAGTATTGTATTACGTTTGAAATAGAAGGGTGTGTTAAGTATAAATTAAACCAAGTTGTTTTCAGTTTTCGTGTGTAAATAATACAATTATTATGGAAAAAAATGTAAATTTGGTTAACCCCCCCCCCTCCCATTTAATTTACTACCACTTTCAGTAGTTTTCTAGTGTGCGGGATTTAAGCGATAACGCATTACACAAACTAATTTTAATTTTCTGCTCACAGCACTGACAAAATCCAAATGTAGAAGACGTTCTATAAACTGCCTAAATATCACTCCTTGAAACATGCTACTTTCCAGTACCCTTAAAATATATTTGTTTTAAATTCTAGATTCTATATGCAAGTCTAAAAGTTTTAAGTTGATTTGAATTTAATCGACCAATCACTTGACAGTTAGATTAAACGGACTGTTAAATATAACATTACTTGTTACGGGGATAATGAAACTTTTTGAAACGCGGCATTAGCATTAAGTAGGTAAACAAATTAATATAGAATTGTACATCTGATTTATTACCTTGTTACAACTAAATTGTTACCTATTCTACAATACACAACATAAATAACACATTTTACGGAGAGCGGTACACTTCTATTAATTGATACGTCGAAATGTATACTCATTTTAGATCCGTTGTACACCAATTAAATGTATATAATTACAAAAGCATAAAAGCAGAGATCGTGGAAAATATTATACATGACATTTATTGTTTTTCACTAATTCATACAAATAAAAATAAATAAAAATACTAAAATACAAATATGTATATTATATCATGTGCATTTTACACAACCACATATTGCTCTATTAGAAATCATTAAATCATTTAAATCATTGAACACAAAAACTTATCCAAACATATGTTCATATGACGCGATACATTAATATTGCTAAAAATAATAAATAGGTACCTGTCTAGGTATGAATTATCTGTATTTTGTGCAACTTTATTTATTCAACCTAATGTATTAAGTTTATTTAAAAATAATATATATATATTTATACAATAATATATTTTTTATTAGTAAAATGCAAAATTGTTTCAGTAAGTGTGTTAAAACAAATATTATTTTGAAACTGTAATATAGAAAATTTAAATTTATTCATTGCTTTTATACTATAACATAACACCGTTTAATTTGATGGAATAAAGTTGAAAACTAATTTGATTTTATCACAGTAAACAGAGATACCTAACCAGTAAAGCAGGATACATTATTTTATTCTTGTTTATTTTTATATTTCGCGTTTACAGTTGGTTTTTGTTTAAGTCTATTTTTTTTTAAGATAACAGTGAACAGTTAATGTATTGACTTTTAACAATAACAACCAATACTTTATTTTCAATAATTAGTGATAATTATTGTAAAAGTGATTAACAACTGAATTTTATTTTAAATTATATTTAAATATTTAAAAATTAATAATTGGAAAGTTGTTGAACTAACACGATAGAAATATAATTTTAACATACATAGTTGCGGATATGGAATAATAATAGTAACTCTTGATGTTGAATTTTCATTGTAATAGATTTGTTTGATATTATGTTATGTATAGCATCCGGAGTTAAAATATGTCATGTCTTAAATATATGCCTTATAGTGCTATTATTTACAATTTACATAGTATTTTATGTCCTTCCACTGTTCACAATGACCATCTATGTATATATTGTATCGACTTCCGAAGATTAGTCCTAGGGGACGGAATTATATTATGTAAATGCATATTTTTATTTGAATATGATATTTAAGTATGCTAATAAATGTTTATACTATTTCATCAATTTCACTTCACATATTTCACTAATTTGTAAATATGTTGAAACTTTTTCCTGCGCTTATTTTTCATTGTTTATACACATATTATTGTAATATTATTGTGAGCCATGAAGAAATTATAATAAATTGTTTCAAAATATATTTAACTAAGAAACTATTAATACTTCTATGATTGTTGGGGCAACTAGAAGTATTGTGCAAAATTAAATTGCCCATCAAAAAATATTTTGATAATTATGTTTTGTAGCACATAAAATTACAAATTAAGAAAATTAAAACATCAATTAAAAAATTCAAACTGTTATTGATAAAAAATTCTGGTTAAATGGTTTTTAAAATCTTAGAATATTGTTTTCAAATATATCACGTTCGTCAACTTATTATGAACCAATTATATCAGTTAAAGCGTATTCCGTAATTTGTATATATTTTTGTATTTTAATTAATCATAAATTCATTTCAAAAAAATTCTGTATACCTACCTAATTAAAATAAGTTTTACACTAAACAAAGTATCTTATCAATTTATAATTAGTCAATAGTTTTTACATTTGTTGCGAAATGTCAACAAGTTTATTTTAAATTTGGTTATAAATATCTGTATATATACACGGTCGAGTGCTTCGCCTTCTTTTTTTTTTACTTAGCTCGAGACATTACCGTGTCGCTGGATCATGTTTGGTTAGTATTAAGAACGATCACCACCAAGGAAAAATTTTATGCAGACAACCTATATTACAAATTAAAAATATTTAAGATTTATATTATTCATTATTAATATTTCATTATCTGCTATCTGATAACTAATAATCTAGAATCTATACAATTATTACAACTTTAATTATTTTTCCGATACTTATTAATTAATATCAAACGTTAACACTTAAACGTTAATAAAATATTACAGTCCACAGCGGTATCTTTATCTTTTCAAAACTTCTACATTTTATTTAACAAAGTTTTTAATAAGATGTTTATCACTGAAATATCAAATATAATAAGTTTAAATATATATTGATACACAATGTCTCACTTTATCATGAAGCTACCGGTGAAGTATCTTTTTTTATAATCATATTATTTTGTATTACAATACGAATGACCAATAAAAAATGACATTGTATACATGCCAATAATTAAACATTATCAAAATTGCAGCAAACATCAATTTGATATAAATGGTTAATTTAAAATTTCCTAAAATTATTGTTTTAAATTTTACTCACATTTGCTGAGTAGTATTATGTATACTGGTATATATTATATACTATATATTAATAGAATCGATACAATTACACAAAACACTAAATATTATACTCTTCTGAATCTTTTATACAGCTCAATATTAATAAATTCTATTACTAAAAATGATAAGCTATTTAAAAATATTCATTGATTTAGTTACACAAAATCCATTGTTATATTCTACCAAAAAATATATATATTTTTAACTCACTGGTTCTAGAAAACGTAAATAATAAATAAATAACAGAATGCTTTGACATTTTGATATCAATCACTCTGTGGCGTTGAATTAAACTTGATGTAGCTTTGAATATCAAACGAGATAAAACAAAATATAAATACATGTGAGAATTCAATAGTAAGTATATGCCTTTAAATATATAGTACCTGCATAATGTGTCGTCAGTTTCTGTACCTATCTTAATAACTCATGAACTCTAAAACATTTCCTAATTACCTTCCCTTGTCATTCGGAGGTTCATAACTTATTTTCACACTTTAGTGAGGAACAATGTTATCAGAGACAGAGCACCATCAGAGGGCGGAATTGAAAGTGTCTCTCCCCACCCATCAATACTTGAAAACTTTGCAGTTGGCACACTCCCACTCGTAATTCAATATTATAATACTTATAAAAATGGCCATTCAATGTTTGATGAAATATTACTTTACATTCGTCTGGTTTATTTGATAATTTATTTTATTGTTCTAACTATATTTCCTCAAATAGCATAAATAAATAATGATGGTGACAATTATAGTGAATCAATATTTTAGCATATACATTTTTAATTTAATCGTGTATAAAAACCAAGTCAGTGTCGATATTTTAATAAATATATTATTATGCGTAAAATAATGTTAAATAATAAGTTTGGGTTCAATTTTCAAATCCTTATAAAATCAAAACTCCAAATAATCAAAATTAAAATTATGTGTTATAATGAGCATTTTTAATAATAATATCAAGTTTTTTACGGTGTAGTTTAGTATTCATTAAAAAAAATGCTGAAATTAATAAAGAGTAACTAAACATTTTGAAATTAAAATATAAAAGATTTGTTCACATTACAATAAATAAGTAAAGTACATGATTTTTAAGTTTCTAATAGAAGTGGATATTGCAAAATCTAATTTTAAAAAAAAACTAAAGAAAATAGCATATTTAAAAACAAAATTTATATTTGTGAACTATCAAAATAATATGAACCAACTACCATCTTGTATACAATTGTATCGTCATATTTTAACATAAAAATTATGGTTAATAACTTTAGATTATTTATAATATTTTATTCCTTCAATTTATATCTATAATATTATACCATTATATTGTTTCCAGAAATCAACCAATAATACATTTGAAAACTATACATAACTTCACAATGTTCATAAAATCAATGAATGTTGAGATATATTTAAATGTTTTTAGAGTTTGTTTCAGAACAAACATGAAAGAGTAAACAGCTCAGAAAAATAATAATAGAATAAAATATAATATTCGTGTTTGACAAGTATTATTTTAGATTGAGAAAGAGATTGAGATAAAAAAAATCTACAATTGGTTTACGATGAAAACCTTTTGTTATAGTTTTACAATTTCGTTATTTTTATAGTTTAAAATCTAAAACAATAATTTAAAAATCTAAAATCAAACTTAATTCTCTTACATTTATCAAAAAATGCAATTATAAATATGAAATATATTTTATTTGTTAATGTTATTGCTACTTACATAGAATATCAGAATATATCGAATACTTCATGTGCAACTACGACGTAGTTGCTACGTAGTTTAAAATCTGCGAGATAAAAAAAAATAGCTTAAGATACAATTTGTCAAGA